AATTTTTTTTTTTTTTTTTTTTTTTTTTTGTGTATTTTGTTAATTTTGAAAAACAATATTATATTTTTAAAAGATGCTTTTAATTATATTTTATGATTTCTTCCTCGGATTGGTTTATGCAATAGGACAACCAAAGGACAACGCCCAGAGCGCAAAATTCAACGATTTCGTCTATAAATTCAAAATCTTTCATCCTTTTTCACTCATAATTTCAATTATACGTCTTTCTTTTTCAAACATGGCGTTATGAAGTTCCCCGGTTTCTTCCCTAATCCCAATTACGTCACACAACTACGGATTCAGTGGCCTCGCATGTCACACAAATCTCCATTAACTTCAGCGCCGGAGAAGCTTCGAGCCCCACAATCGCGATTTTGATCATTGTCAAACCCCAATTACCGAGTGGAGCAAATGGGGATTTTGACACCTTACATAAGTCAAAAGGATATACAGAGGAAATGGGCATTTTTACATGTTTCTTTCTGCGGCAATTTGTGGGGAGTAATTGGAATCATCGTCAAGAGTGGAGGACGAAATTCCAAGTGATGAAGCAAACGTTGTTGTGGTGTCGCCACCATTAAGGTATCTCTTTAATCGATCCAAGTCATAAGCAGCATCCAGCATTGTGGGTCTTGTGGATGGAGATTCTTGAGTGCAGAGCAAACCCAATTCGATTAGCTCTCGGATTGCCACTTCCCACATTTTCTTCACTTCAGGTGATTCATCTCTTGAAACTCTCTGTAGAGAACAATCCACTACTTTTTCTACTCTGCCGTAGTAATGACTCTTCACCCACTTATGTAAGCTTAGCCCTTCATCAAACATGTCGTCTATTGGCCTTTTTCTTGTTACCATCTCTAGAACTAGCACACCGAAGCTGTAAACGTCTCCTTTCATGGAGGCTGTAGAACCAAATCCGTATTCTGCACCAAGAATAGATGTGACATAATTGATGCACTCAACATGTTTGATAAAAGTCATAGATGAAAAAACCCGAAAATACAGGATGTTTGTTGGGAACTTATTCAATGATTAAACTTGTAGCTTCGTAGCTTATCAACCTCAAAAGTTTAGGCCTAGTGATACTGATAACTTATCATGGTCTAAAGGAGAGAATCTTAACTTCTAACTCACTTGACAGTCCTAATTTTTTACATTTGCTTGGTATGTTGATGAATTGAACATGAAGTTCTTGGATTTTTAAAAGCAGAGAGTTATACCTGGTGCAATATATCCAATTGATCCAGTTAACATGTTTGCAGTTGATTTTCCCATGTTTTCAGCAGCTGCACCACTTCCAATTCCAGGAGTCATTAACCTTGAGATCCCGAAGTCAGAAACAAGAGCTGTCATGTCATCTTTTAGAAGAACATTGCTTGGCTTTAAATCACAGTGTATGACTCTGACTGGAGAATGATGATGCAAGTATGCCATTCCTTCAGCTATATCACTGCATATATTCACCCTTTGGATAAGGTTTAAATCTGAAGAACAAGAAGCCAAGCTGGCAGGTGAATGTGGATATAAATGGCTATCCAAGCTTCCATTTGCCATATATGGTAGAACTAGAGCTTTAAAGTCTGGAAGACTACAAGCTGTTATAATTCTTATAAGGTTTCTGTGGCGAATTCGCTTCAGAACTTCACATTCTCTGTGAAAACTTTTCGTCGAATTTCCAGATTGTGTGTGCAAAACCTTAACAGCTACTGTTGTTCCATCTGAAAGAATGCCTCTATAGACTCGTCCATAGCTGCCTGAGCCAATTAGTCTCTGTTCATCAAAACCTCCAGTGGCTTCTGATAGTTGCCTGCTTGTTATTCTTGGAAAATTGTGCATAAAATCTGGCATCTTTGATCTCCTTGATGATTCACTATTTCGTGCTGAAATAATTGCGTTTAGATGTTGACAAGAAAACCAACAGCATATTGTTGAGAAGAACGATGATATGCATATGATTAAAATGAACACAGACAAGAATACAGGTGATTGAAACCGATTTCTCTTGCTAGAACAGGCTGGTATTCCAGGAATTGTCCCACAAAGGAGTGTATTGTTCAAAAATGAAAGAGGTGTGGACGATATGAAAAATCCCTCTCTCGGAATCATTCCTTGGAAGTTGTTGAATGAAAGATTCAGGTAAGTGAGATATTGAAGCTTACCTAGACTGGCTGGAATCATGCCTGACAATTGGTTTTTAGAAATATCAAATGATTCAAGGTTTGCGAGTTCGCCTAGGGAATCTGGAAGATGACCTTGGAGGAAATTGTTTGAAAAATTTATGAAACTCAGTGCAATGCAACTTGATATCTGAGGGAAGATGTTTCCAGTGAGGTTATTGGATGAAAGGTCCATCTCTTGAACATTTTTCAGCTTGCTAAGCTCAATTGGCAAGTTTCCTTGAAAATTGTTATGAGAAAGGTTAATAAAAATTCTTATCTCTTGCAACCCGGATATCTCTCGAGGAATGCTTCCTGATAACATGTTGAAAGATAAATCCAGCTTTTGTAGACCTGTGCACTTTACCAATGCTGAAGGTATCGTTCCTGACAACAGGTTATTGTTGAGAAACAAATAGATCATCTGAGTCAAATTTCCGAAACTCTCTGGGATTTCACCTGAAAGTTGGTTGTGAGATAGATCTAACAATCCAAGATGTGGCAACTCGCCTAATGCTTCTGGAATGTCTGAAGTGAAGAGGTTATGTGATAAGAAAAGCTGCTCCAACTTCGACAACTTGCTTATCTCTGCAGGAATTGTTCCATTAAGTAGATTTGAAGTCAAATTCAGCCCTGCAAGTTTGGAAAGCTTGGCCAAACTTGGAGGAATTGATCCAAATATCTGATTTTCCTGCAAAAACAGAACTGAAAAATTGACACCCAGCTGACCAATAGAATCGGGGAGACTCCCTCCAAGCCCCATCCCAGCCAATTCAAGCTCCTCCAAACTACTGCAGTTTCTAAGAGAAATAATGAACGGTTCGAGATTGGTATTTCCATCATGGCTTACCATATAATTATTTGATAAATGAAGGAAGCTAAGTGAAGGCAGGTTTCCTACCAGCACTGCAGGCAGTACGCCAGAAAGATGATTATGTTCGACATCCAAGTTATAGAGCGAAGTGTTTGTTAAAGAAAGAGGAAGTTCTCCACTGAACTGGTTGTTGTACAAATTGAGATTCCACAGCTTTGGACAATTTCCAACTTCTTCTGGAATGCTTCCGGTTAGCAAGTTGATGGAAAGGTCTACATTAAGCAACGACGTGCAATTAGAAAAGAGAGAAGGTGGAACTGTGCCATTTAACTTGTTCTGCATAAGACTTATTACAGTAAGCTTGGACAAACTAGCAAGGGAAGTTGGTATGGGACCTTCCAAACTGTTGTTGTCAAGGCGAAGGCGATGAAGATTTCGAAGAGAACAAAGTTGAGAAGGAATTTCCCCAAAGAAATAATTGTTAGCAATATCCAGAACTCGAAGACCCGTGAGATTGGATAGGATGGGTGAAATCTTTCCCACAAGTTTGACATCAATCAAACTGAGCTTCGATACACGGTGGCGGTGTCGGTCACAAGAAACACCAGTGAAGTTACATACATCAACAGCTTCAATCCAGTTAGCTAGAGTGGAAGTGGGGTCATGTGTGATGCACTTCCTGAAGGCCAGGAGGGCTGCTTTATCAGTGAGCAAGGACTTATGAGGAGGGTAGTGGTGACCTATAATAACTGGAGTCCCAGAATTCAAAACCAGACACTGAAACAGGAGAAGGAACACAGCCCTGAAGAAAACCATATCAAGCAGAACAACAATACTACAGTGGAAATGACCTGTAAGTTTACCTTCTTCTCTCATGGTATCATCATCCTTTACTGCTTTGTTTCATAAAGGGGAGAGGAAAAAACATATAAGAAAATTTAGTGGGATATAGGTTTGAGAGCTAGAATTGGTTGAAAAGTGAGCTAGTGCAGAAGTAGCTGAAAGAGAAAGGGGAGGGATTAATGTAATTACTGGTGGGATTTGATATTTTATTGGGAAAAAGTGGGTGGCAGGAATGATGAAATGTGAGACTAGAAATGGTATTATTCGCTCATCTTTTGCTTTGTGGAGGGCTGCAATCACTATGATGATGATATTTTCGCTCAATATTTAAAGCTATATCCTAATAAAAGAGAAAGAGAAGGAACTTGGTGGACTTTGATCAATAAACATCCTCTTCTCTCTCTCTTTCCTTTGTGGGTGGTGAGTGGGTGTGCTTGTGGGGGGACATTCTGGCTGTTCTAGCTGGTGGCTGCAACATGTTACAGTTTTTTAAAATATGTATTCATTATCTTGAAATTACTTAAGCATCTTATTAAATAAACGAATAGGAGGAGGAAACTGGAGCAGAGTGGGTAGAGCACAAGGGTGAAAGAAAAAGGCAGGCAGGCTTGTGGTGTGTGCTGCATAGTCAAAATGTTAATAATGATATTAAGACATCCCGTTGTCTGTGTCATCCGATAAATCAGTTCAAAGGTTCCTTCATTTTCTGTCTTTTACTTGCATCTCCGTCTTCTTCATTTCCATCTAAAATTGTTAGAAGAGAATAGGCAGTACAGGAGGAGGAGGAGGAGGAGGAGGGGACCCAAAACAAAATTGATCAGGATGAAGGGGGCCTGAACTCAAAATTTGGAGTAGAATGATATGGTGGATGGCGGCCTCTCCTTCCGTCCTGAAACCCATTTCCATATTTTCTTGGCTTCCATTTTCAATCTTCAAAAGCTCCTTAATTCACATTCGTATGCACACAGGAAGGACACACAGAGCGAGAGAGAGAGATTTCAGTTTCTTGAAGGAATTAGTCAACAGAAGGAACACGATTTTTGTTTTGCTTTTTTTTGTTGTTTGCTTTTGGTTATGGATTAGAGGTCAGCTCTTGCTGATGGGACATTTGACAAGGAAACCATTCATTCCCCATTACACATTTTTTTTTCATTTTTCATTTTTCTTTTTGTTTTGTTGTTGCAGAAAACCAATGACGAAGATGGAAACCGAGCGAAAATTCTCACCCCTAAACAATGATATGATATTATCCACTTTGAGTAAAACTCTCGTGGCTTTACTTTAGACTTTCTCAAAAGGTTTCATACCAATGGAGATAGTATTCTTTACTTATAAATTCACGATCTTTCTCTTAATTTGCCAAAATCCTCAACAATCCCTCCCCTCGAACAAAGCACACAGACCTCCTTCTCTGGAGTTCTCAAGCAGCTTCCCCTTAATCAAGGTTTGTCTTCTTCTCTGGAGCTCTCGAACAAAGTACACTCTTTGTTTGACACTTGAGTCACCTTTGACTACATCTTTAAGGCTCACAACTTATTTGTTTGATACTTAGAATTCTAATAGAATTCTATTGATTGAGATAAGTTAAAAGTCATCTCTATAGGAAAAAATGACTCTTCTAAATTTATGAACTTTTAAATTTTTTCGATGAATTTTTGAATTTATCAATTTAAAAGTAGTTATAAGCTTTGAATTATAATCATAGCTGTACAAAAATTAACTCAGAATTCAATGAAAAAGAGGACATCATAGTCATTAGAAGCAATATATATATATATATATATAGAAATCATTATTGATGATAATTTTTTCATTTAATCTTCATATTTATTATTTTAATTACATTAGAAAAAACGTACAAAATTACAGGAAGAGCCAACAAATATATGAAATTGGTGAATTAATATTATTGCTATGGTGCGCCACCATTGTTTAATTATTTATTCTGAAATTGGTGAATTAATCTAATTTAAAACGTGTTTCACCTGTGATAAAACTTAATCCATTGAATCTTGCTTGTTATAAACCAATCCCTAGTATTTAATTTATAACAGTTAATAAACATGTGTTTAGTTTGATAAATATTTTACTATTTACTATTTCAAATATAATCTTTTTTTTTTCTTTTTTTTTTTTGTGAGTTTCAATTCCGTGCACGTGTTAAAATATGTCATTTGTCAAAATAATAATAATAATAATAATAATAATAATTGATTAGGAAAGAATTCCAAGATATAATGAGTCTACTTTTAGCATATGACCAAACTCTCTAGGTTTTTATAAGAACGGTTTAAAAGTGGGAATTAAATTCAATAAAACCTTAAACTAAACAATATAACATTATTGTCTAAAACAATCAAAAATATTATTAATTTTAAGAGAATATTTTATAAATTACCATTTATTAAAACAAAAGCAAACATAGTTCGAGTTAATTACAACGTTTTAAACCAGTTTTCAAAATAAGCACAAAAGTAAATACTACCAAAATAGACTCGAGCCTACCTAGAATTCCTGGAGTTTCTAGTTCGGCTACATTGCCGTCTTGATCACGTTTATTTGAAAAAAAAAAATCAAAAATAATTTTGATGCATAATTAATTTACTCGGTAGATAGCTAACTTGTAATTAATAAGTTTTATTAATTATCTTTCTAGCATATTTTAAGCTTTATTTACAACGGATTATTTTCAAGTCTTTGGTTTAGATCGGGTCCTCGGTTTAACCATTACCTTAGCTCCTAGTCTCATCTACTAGAGCCTCTCCATTGACATTTCTATTAAAGTCTTTGATGGCCTGTTATTCTATTAAAGTCTTTGATGGCCTGAAATAACACACAATCCAACTGTTAGGAATACTCATTGTTCTTAACAACAAATCAGTTAGGGGTTCTTCAAGATTAGTTGTTTAAGAATACTACTACACATCTCATATCATAACAAGCTCATAAGCATAAGCTAGAGTCATACATCATGCGTATTAATTATAAACACAAGCTCATAAGTAGACGCTAGAGTCATACAACAAGTTCATAAGCATAAGCTAGAGTCATAAGCTTGATCTTAAAACTCATTTATACAAACACTTAATTAACCCTAAAATCAGTTCCAAACAATAAGAACACTACTAAACCAGTTAAAATAGAAGGTAGTCGGAATTGTGCCAACAATTGAGCCAACCGCATGCCTTGACTGGATTGTGCATGTGTTTAGCTCTTATTTCAGCCTAGGCCAATCTGTAAGCTAACGCACTCGGGTTGGGCAAAGGCATTTAGATTGTGGGTTGAACTTTGGGCTAGGTTGGGTTGAAGTTCTTTACTTTTGAGCATACATTAAGAAATGAAGTGGGAAAACGGTCATAAAGCATGCTCGAAAGAAAATAATATTAATTAAAGGGTTATGAATGTCTTTGTGACAGTTATGAGGTCTTAAAAGGTCGTTGGAGTATGTGAGGTGCCTGGATCGTTTCAACCAAACTTTTGTACGAAATACACCATAGTTAACTTACTGTTGGATACTATAAGCTAGTCTTGTCCTACTACATTTAAATTTGAAACTAGCTCGTGTTGGAGGTATGAATACCACCTCCTTAAGGAAACTTAATACTAGCAAAATTTTCGTCCTACCACACCATTCCCAAAATAACATCAAAATCTGTCATGCTTAAGACCATTATGGCACGTCCAATAACCGACCCAACACTAACTCACTCGACCTGCAAATGACACAAGATATATGAGTGAGTAGACCCAAATCTGAAAGTGTTAGGGCAAGGAGCCCAAGTCTTGATAAAAGAATTGTTACTATGCATCAAAGATAATGGAATCCTTGCTAGTACATGCAATAGAGGGCAGCTGGGTGACCTAACACGAACTTTTGTCTCTAGGGTACTATGTTCTGACTCCTCGAACTTTTCCTAGTTTGGGAGTACTAAGGTTTAGACCCCCTATAACCGCCGCTTCTGATCCTAAGGTATTCAGTCTATTGGGGTGTCCTGACCTAGATCATCATCTAGCCAGCTTGACACTAGTCCCTAGTCCTAGTTTGTGCAGATAAACACGCTCTATAGAGATACACAATCAAACACTTATAGCTAGACATATTGTATCATCAGTCATACAAAGCTCAATAACAGAGAGCATTCTTCGTTCAGAGCACAAATCACACTATCTCATCCTTTATTCTAATGAGCGGAGAGCATTAAAATCAGCATGTATCATAAATTCTCATTCTAGGGGCATTTTTGTAATTTTCTATACGATACATTGTATTTGATGGTGTTAATATAATATATGCGGAAGCAATTTGGATCTTAGGCACTCTAAGTACATCAATCATAGTAAATTAGCTAGCATGTTCAAAAGCATTAAAACTAAATGAGTTTGAATACTAACCTTTTGTCGCTCAAGTTTCTTTTTCCTCACGTACCGGTTTCGAACCACCACTAGTGTCTTCTCCACTATTCTCTGGCCTTAGAACGAGATTGTGGAATCCGGTGAGTGACTAAAATTGGAGGGATTTAGTATATATGAAGAGAGAGTTTGTGAGAGATTTTTTTTCAAGGTTTTTCCCTTCGAAGACCTTCCATGTACCATAATCACTCTATTTATAGAGACATCTTTGCATGTTCATGCAAATTTGAGATCACCAAATGTTGACACTCAAAATTCCACTCAAATGTTTGGGATTATGTGGCAAACATGCAAAGTTTGAGTTCACCAAATTTTGACACTCAAAATTTCATTATAATTTGTGGAGTTTATTTGTCAAACATACAAGTTTGGTTAAACCAAATTTTGACACCTCAAAATTCCACGGGATCAAACATGGATTTTTCCATTAAATGAAGTTAACAATTTAACTTTCTTCATTTTGATTCAACCATCCATTTGAATTATTAATGAAAATTAATATTTAATATTAATTCAAATGTCAACCCAATTAATTCTGACATATATTTGATTAAGGTATTTAAATTTTATTTAAATATCTTAGATTCTCTCTTTTTGTTTAATTAGTAAATAAAACAAAAATGCGGTTAAATATATCGTATATATGTAGCGCATTCTCCCTAATTTGAATTCGAACACTTCGAACTCACTCGTCACACTGTTTTATGGTTTAGTCCGATATGAACTAGCAGAGGGATCTAATGGACCTATAGATCATGGGCTCCTACGATCCAAGATTAACCGGTTAAACTCATTAACTTTGTTAACTAACATTCGTTAACTATTAGGACACTCCACTATAGCATAGTAGTTGCACTCCCCTCACTATAGATATATTTCTGTCAATTTGATATAACCATGATTAGTAAGTCGATCCTTCACAGGTTGTTCGTAACTAGATTTGGGTCAATTTACTGTTTTACCCCTGAAGTTACTTCTTGTTCCTTATGTCTCACTGATCCTCTAATGAACAATTAGTTTGTGGTCCAACTAGTAAACCGAATCCCTCTCAGGCTAATGAGAGGGTGGGGCCCCTTGTTTAAGACTTGGAGTTAGTGTTTAAGGAAACTACCTCTCTTCTA